TTTTTAATTATTTTTTGGTTTCCCGGAGGTTTGGAAATAATTAAAATAATTAAAAATAATTAAAATAATTAAGACAATTAGAATTTTAATTATTCTGATCTCGTGAGGAGCAAATGTTGCGACAACACATTCTGGACAGCTCCTTGGCAGTTGTCCGTTCCAAGCGGATACTGGCTTCTTGTGAAGAATTGAAGGTCTGGCCTACACGGATTCAGTTTGTGGAGGCACTGGCTGCACTTTCCTGTCTTCACAGAACCGACATGGGCCGGAAGATCGAAGGGACTAAAACTACGCTGGCGAAGCTCCTACACAATGTCACAAGTGCAGAGCAGCTGGAGTGGCTCTTCAACAACTTGAGGTACAGGCAATTCTTACCACATCGAGTTCGTCTGCTGCTGCCTTCAGGCACTACTGCCAACGAAGCACTCCATGCAGAAATCAACTCATGGTATCGACAGACTCAGCAGATGCACCGCAGCACATTGGTGCAAAAGCTGCAAATCCAGCAGCTGGGCAAACTATTGGCCCACAACATTGCTTTGCACAGCCCCACAGCAAAGCAGATGCCAAGCTCTCATGTCCTCTCACAGCGAGTTGGAAATCCTCTATGGTCAGCCAAAACCTGGCAGTCGGACATGGCGCAACAAGCATCAACCTTGCCATTGAAAGCTCGCAGAAAAACAGAGAAGGAGCTGGTGGCAGAAGCAGCTAAAAAGCGTCCAGCAGCAGCTCCAAGGCCGAAGGCGCGTGCGAAGCGCACGCCATTTACTTTGGAGCGCAAACCCGGTCTCCTAAGGAGCGGGGTGCGCAAAAGAAACTCGATGTGACAGGTGAAAAAGAATTGCGTAAACACTGCTTGCTGTGCTTGTGCAAACACAAACAACACTATCTTTGGACATTGGCACGCTGGATTAGACTTAACCCTTCTACACTCTGCGCGCTCAATACACAAGCAATTAGTATGTACTCTCAGCGATCAATATGTTGCTTTCTCCCGGCCCTACCTGCTTGCTTGCCTGGTATAGAGGGAACCTAATCTCTATGATTTGCTGGATAGTTTCTTGGCATCGCGCTCCGCATCTGGTTCTCCAGTTTCAAGTCCAGTTATGGAACTGGAGCAACAGCCTTGCTATTTAACGTCTGCGAAGTATTATTGTGCTCTTTTGCTGACAGGAAAAATGGGCGGGTGCTGGATGTTGCACTTAGAACCAAAGCAAATGTTGTCTTGAGAGCTCCCACGACTCATTGTACCTATTTTTCCATGCCTCCGCCCCCCCCCCTCGCAGGGTTCAACTCCACCCTTCTCCTCCTCGGTACCTGCTGCTGCTGCTGCTGCTTGGTGGCTGCTGCTGCTGCTGGCATCTCATCTGCGCCTGGCTCTTGGCTGCTTGCTGGTTGCTGCTGCTCGCTGCTTGCATGCTTGGTGCTGCTGGATGCTCTTGGCTGCTTGCTGGTTGCTGCTGCTTGATGCTTGCATGCTTGCTGCTGCTGGATGCTGGCTGCCTGCTGCTTGTTGTCTGCTCCGTTTTGCTGCTGTTGCTGTTTGGGGTTGTTGGCTGCTGTTGGTGCTGAAGAAAGCCTATTCGTTAGAATCGAGAGTAGTTGCATTCCCTCTGAGTCGTGAAACGATGCTAATTTCATTATATCCTTAAGAAGCTTGTACAGGCATGTACCCACCCCACAACCCCAAGAGTACAAATCAGAATGCACTATCCACTATCCATGCAGATCAAAAGATGATACTTACTACACACATGAATGACAGAACCCAGTAAGATGTTTGAACGGGCTGTTTGCTTCACTCATGGTAGTCCGCGTTCCATGTTCGAGCGACAGGGAGCATGCACAAGCGTTGCGACGGAGTCTTCGGTCGCTGACACATGTTCGCATGCAACCCCTAGATGTCAATCATGCACACCGCTGCTGGCTGCATCGTTAGCATTTATTCGTGGAAAAAACATATATATCAGATTTATTTGTCTTTCCACGTCGCCCTTCTACAATTACTCAGGCAGCACCTATATGTGCTATTGTTCGAGACCAAATTCTGCTGCTGCTGCTGCTGCTGCTTGGTAGCTGGTGGTGCTGCTTGGTAGCTGCTGTTGCTGCTGCTGCTGCTGCCGCTGCTGCTGCTGCTTAGTAGCTGCTGCTGCTGCTGGGTAGCTGCTGTTGCTGCTGGGTAGCTGCTGCTGCTGCTGCCGCCGCCGCCGCTGCTGCTGCTGCTGCTGATGCTGCTGCTGCTGCTTGGTAGCTGCTGCTGATGCTGCTGCTGCTTGGTAGCTGATGCTGCTGTTGCTTGGTAGCTGCTGCTGTTGCTGCTTGGTAGCTGGTGCTGCTGCTTGCTAGCTACTCCTGCTGCTGCTTCTGCTGCTGCTTGGTAGCTTCTGCTTCCTGCCGCTGCTGCTGCTGGTTACAGTTATTGTTGTTGTGGCTGTTGCTGCTGCTGCTGCGGTTGCTGGGGTGGTTGTGTGTTGCCATGTGTTGGCTGTGTTGGGGTCGTATTGGGGGGCGCTGTTGGCACTCTCCTTTTCCCTTGGCCATGGCATGTTGCGATTCCCGGCCAGGCTTTTGCTGCCTAAAGAGCCCCAGCGTTGTTTCTTGGCCCAGCTTTCGCCACCCCCCTCTGGGCCACAAGTATTATATATATATATATGCATGTGTGACATGGGACTGGCAACTATGCTATTCTCTGCCTACCTTCACCCCTTTCTCTTCGCTCCCCGATGTTTTTTTGTGGCAGTCCGCCCAGTCGACGGCACCGCCTCGAGGAGCTGCTGCCGATGCGGCGGGTGAACTTCACGGTGACCTGTTCCTCCGGTGGCTGCAGCACAGCAACCGAGGCGACGGGTCTCCGCGAACGTTCGCGTTCCCGTTCCGAGAGCTGCGGTGGGGAGCCCCGATCGCTCCGTTCGTAGTAAGGCCAGGAGCCCCCGAATACGTAGCTTCTTGTGACTAGTATACTGATGCCAGGAGCCCCTAGTAAGTAGCGTCCTTGCTCCTAGTTGCGTTCTCCTTTTTGGCGTTCTCAGTGTCACTTAAACTTAGCAGTTTTTGTGGGTCACTGTATCGGTGATACAGTATGCAATTCTCCTTGTGGCCGCGAAAGAACACCGAGGGGGCAGTCTGCAGACACAGACGATGAGATCGGTGGAAGATTTGGAACGTTTTCGCGCGAGTTGCAGCTACACCCGACTGCCTCGTGGGTTGCGGAGCAAAGCATCACAACACCTAGCGTTGGAACATTTGTTGAACACGGTGATCCCCTCTGCGCATCTCTTCGATCGCACAGTCAGGTGCGTTTGGCATTGAGCTGCGGCAGCGAGGGCCACCGAAGCTCGTCGCCCAGTTACACACAGGCCGTGGGAACTGGGGCTCTTGAGAGGTGGGTCACTGGGGATGGTTGGAGCAATGGGAATGTGAAGGTGTTGGTTGGGCGTGGGCTGGGTAGGTAAGCAGGTACGTGCGCAGGTAGGTACGTATAGTGGGTTGCTTTTGAGTTCGGGTCTGCGGTTTGTGGAGAAAGCAATCAATCAATCCCGACCAAATACTTTGAAATGGGCACTCTTCCACGGGCCCGTTTTGGGGGCAAAACGGTGTGGCAAAGAATGGTTGACGAGGTTTGCTCCTGGTCAGCTTGACTGTGCTGGCAACTCCGAAAGGTTGGCCCCAACCGCGTTCTCTTATTGTTTTCTTTCAATGGTACCAAGAGCCTGGACAGGGCGCATTCGCGCCAAGGTCGAGATGGTCTCGACCAGATTGGCCCCTTCCAATTCAACTTCCTTCCCGGGAGTCTGGTCAGAGACAAAACTGCGAGCTGGCGGTGCTGGTGTAGCTCTTAGCCCATCAGTTCATGTGTGGGGCTTTGCCTGGCTAGGGCCCTAGGGGAGGATTGGAGGTGTCCCCACTCAAAGCCAATAAGTGTTTGATTTCGTTTGAACTTTTTTTCTGGGATCGAATCGTCTAGAATCGTGTGTTTCACGTCTCGACGTCTAGGGATCCACTGCCACCTTCTTAGAAGGTGTTTGGACCCTCCAAACCGTTTCCAAACCAAGAAATGAACCGAGTGTCCAATCACTTTCTCAGAGGGTCTTTGGATCCACACGGAATGAAGGTTTAATCTTGAAAGTGTTTGAAAGAAACCCAGCGCGATTCCGGCAGTCAGAAACACATGTTCTTCCAGAAGTGGAGCGCGGAATCCTCCGCGGCCGAGAGTATCTGGATCGTCGACTGGACATAAAACGAGTCACGTTCGACGGGGTGCCTTCACTTGCGGAGGAAGTCGGGGAGCCCCGACGTCACATCCACTCAGATGGGACGAACAAAACCATCCTTTGAGGATAGGGGTGCCCAGAATATCCACTCACGGACCACAGACCATCCCAACATGTGACTCCTGCGACGTTTTTTTTTCTTTTGGTGCAAAGATTCTGGTGCAAAGCGAATGCCTTCAGCGCGGCACGCCTTCGGCCGGCACGGCAGGCCGTTGGCTTGGCCTATGGCGCCTTCCCCAGCAACGTGCTGAGTCCCAGCGGCGAGGCCTTTCAGGCGTGGCTCTGAGGGTTTTGACGCGTGGAAGGAGGGTGGGACACATTTGTTCTGCGTTTTATGTTGGTTTTTATGAATCAATTTGTTTGATTTCTTTTTGATACACATGCAGTGATGTGTCCCATGAATGTGATTAGGGATATGCTTGCATTTACGTTCCAGATATTAACTGCTAATTAATTGCAATGTCGATTTGCATCGTGATGCGTGTCGCCGGAGTACAATGAGTAAAATGACGCAATGACTGTGGGGAGTCCTTGCATTCTGGCGAAGGAAGTTGTTTTAGGTGTCACGCCCACTCGCGACCCGCAGCGGCGCGCGCGTTTGGTGGAAATCATATTTCGGTTGTTGGGGGGGGTGGGCGGGGGGGTTCAGTTACGTCGTTCAGTTACATCGTTCACGGAACGTCGTCACGGAAACCAGCGGGTTCAGTTACGTCGATACGTCGTCGTCGATACGTCGATAGCACCGCAGTTTTGGCAGCTCAATGCGTTCGTTGTCCCTTCGTTGTTGTGTGTCTTTGTGTGTTGTGATTCTCTTTGTGTGTTGTGATTCTTCTTCGTTTGACTCGTCGTGACTCGTCTTTTGTCTGAGTTGTGCGGAAAGACAGTTGTGCGCAAGATGCCACGGAAAGACTGGCGTCCTTGTAACCTGAGTTGTGCGAAGAAAAGTCAGTTTGCAACTTTTTGGGGGTTGGACAAAAACGTACACTTGTAAATCCCCTTAGAATTTCAGATCAACGTCCAAAAAAAGGGGTGAATTGTGGAGCGAAATGAACATGCGAACATATGGGACAACATTGAAAACATTGTGAAGGACCATGGATGCATTTCAAATGACCTGAGTGCTGTGTGCACGACTACGCGGGTCACTCGGGGTCGTGTTACCTTGTTTTACACTCCCCCAACACATGGTTTCGGACGTCCTCCACCTTGTTGAAACAGGGTGTCTTCCAGAGGAATCGATTCCAGGTGTCCTTATCTTGTGGATCAAGGTGGAATTGATGGGAGGAAAACATCCTGCAAGGCAAGTGCAAGGTGGAGATCGATGTCGTTCCCTTTCGTGACTCCACTGTGTGTGTGTGCGCCGGGTGGAGGATTTTGTCCAGCAGCCTTACTACATGTATCCAGTTATTGTGATATGAACATTGCCTTGTGCAAACGACCACATTGCAAGCCGCTGCTTTTTCAGGAAGAAACCAAAGACCCGGCAGTTCGCCACTGTTGACCGGATTTCGCCGGCCACTGTTGACGCTTCTCGCCGCGACGCGCCTTTCTTCCGTGCAAGGCCAATTTGGATGTCTCCACCCTTCTTCCAGGTGGGACCGGTTGTGCATTTCAAGGGTTGTGCAGGACCGATATGCACGTGCAGGGGATCCGAAGACACGAGACACGAGTTTTCTGGAACGTGATCATAAAAGGATTTCTCTAGTGCCCGAACTTTTGTGTGGCTGACGCATAGTTGAAGAGGGGGTGCATGGACAATTTTGACAAAAGGAATGTGATCTTGGCAGCTGTCCAGTGTTTTCCTGCGCTTCAAACAAAGAGCACATGTTGGATTATAATCGGGTCAACTGGTGAGCGTGGCAGGTGAGCGTCGAACAGCCTAGCGTGTCAACCAAGGATTCGACTACCGTCTTTGCATTGATCTGGATGGCTACTATGGCTCATCTGTGCCAGGACACATGGGGCGGAGCCCACTCCGCGGCCAAACCTCCCCCGACTCCGTATATTGAGTTATTTTCGCCTTGTTTTTGGCCTCACCGGGGTCACTGCAGAGGCCTGAGAAATTTTGGACCTCCCGGCCAGAAGAAGGATTCCAAAGAACATTCATGAACTCTCACAGCCATCCCTAGCCTGTGTGATCTGTATTTTCCAGCTGTGGTGGAGAAATCTCATGACAAATTTCCTTGTTACTACAGTAATTAGTAGCGATGCCAGGAGCTACTAGTAGAGTCCTTGCTACTAGTAGCATTTAGTAGCAGTAGCGATGCCCTTTGTTCTTAGTAGCTTCTTGTTACTACAGAAATAGAACCTTCTTGTTACTAGTAAGCTTCTTGTTCCTAGTAGCGATGCCCGGGTTCCTGGTAGCGATGCCAGGAGCTACTAGTAACTAGTAGCTTCTTGTTACGAAATAGAACCTCAAGATTTCAATCAAGTGAGTTGGATCTCCTGGTGACCACACAGATGCTTTCGTCCGACTGCTTTCAAATTGATTGTTTCATGCGGCGGCCTACACTGGCACACCAGACGCGTTAGGCATCTTTGAACCAATATCACCCTCCAAAGTAAATGTGGAAGTGAAGGGTTGAATGTGTAATGAAGGAATTGAATACTGAAACTTCAATTTGTGGACCCAGAAAATGTGGACTTTGCCAACCGCCCCTGGAGGTCCAAAGGAATCATTTTACCTTGTCCCTAGACTTCCTTTCAACCATAAAAACCGGGAACGACCTGGTTTAGTGTAAAATCGGTAGAACAAGGGTACTTCAGGATTCAGCCCATTAATGGCGCAGGAAGCCTAGGGGGGCTCTTCTTCCGGGGTCTCTTACACCCGGCCGGTCCGACCCACCTGTTCGCACCTGTACCGGACCTGGCGGTCTCAGACGTTGGTGACGTGACCAGGTCGGTTTCCACGTCACGTACGCGTACGGGGGACCAGGTAGGTGGGACCAGCTGAGTCGGAAGTTAAGGAAGAAAGCTCCGAACGTCGCGTCCTTGCTCCTAGTGGTGATGCCAGCCCCGAACATAGCATCCTTGTTCCGTTCGTAGTACCGCCAGGAGGGCTCAAAAGCATCGTCTAGATCCGGTGGATCCGCTGGACCCCGTCGTTTTCTGACGCCATATAGGTGATGGATGTATGTTTCTGACCCGGGGTTGAGACGTGGTATAGATTCTAGTGGATCCCAGTTTATAGATCTGTATAGCACTGTATGTAACGTAACACTATATTATTAGGAAGCAGGGTTTATAGGTCCAAACGGTTTCAGTCTTTGGAACCACTTACCATAAGTTACCTACTATATAGTCTATAGCTATAGTGGTAAGTGGATCGAGTGTGATGACTTGGACTATGATCGAGGCATCGAGACCTATACGTCTCAACGGGTGGACTTGTGGCGGACTGAACGTCTCAACGGACCAGGAGACTCCGGCTTTTCAGCCCATGGTTCTGCCATCAGAGCCTTGGATGTGAAATCCGATTTTAGATCGTGGCATCTCATGCAACTTGTTCCAAATTCGGAACCAATCCGAGGGCTCTTCCTACCCCATTTCAGTGGCGCGGGTCGTCAAGAACTGTTCAGCACTGGCAACCACGATGGGTTCTGCCCTGATTTCGGAATGCTTCAGCCTTCCTATCATACCAGTGCCACCGTCCGCGCGTGGGTCGACTCGTGGTTGCCAGCATGTTATAAAGCTAGTCGTCCATCGACGGGAGGAAGGGACCCTGGAGATGTGGAGGTGCTTCCTCCAAAAGGGATGTGGTCAGCTTCTTTCTCGTATCTGGACCCGACATTGGCAAGGTACACTAGAACATGGGACACGACCCTCAAACAGGTACTCAGTTTCTGATGTATAGGTTGATTCTTCCAACTCTGCAAGATCTTCGGCCTTTTCATCCTTCAAAACCTGCCAGCTTCAGACATTTTGCCTAGTTGGAAGATCTGCAGTCCACCGCCAACGACCGCCACCAGATAGATGCCCAGTCGGTCTCCTGGTACAGCAGTCTTGAGAAAGGTACCCCTAGCGCTCCAACTGGCTCCGTTTCGAAGATGGTCAGGTTGAATAGGGTGGTCTAACTACCTTCTGAGGAGGTGGGCCAGGAGCCCCAGGTGAGTTCGACTCCAGGTGCCTTGTGGCCCAGCACACTGCAGCTGCAAAGTGCTCAGCCGCTTCGGGTGAACTGTTCGGCCGCTTCAGGCGCCGCACCGCGGCCGTCGGGTTTGGTCGGTGAAGAGGACGGTGAGCTGGACTGGGATGCCAGTCCCAACCCAGTCCCAACGAAAAGAAGAACACAAAAAAAACACGTTTTAGAGTGTTTTAGAATTTATGGCTTCTTGTTCCTTGTAGTATGGCCAAGAGCCACTAGTAGCGTCCTTGCTCCTAGTAGCGATGCCCTTTGCTCCTAGCAGCGATGCCCTTGTTCCTAGTAGCTTCTTGTTCCTAAAAAGAAAACAGCCACACTCTGGTCTGCGGGAGTGTTGTATCGTCGTTTGGAAACAATAAGATCCACCTGCGTTCACCGAGTGCCAAGCAGAAACAGTGCTGCTTTTTGACTCGGCTTTCTTGAGATCCTTTAAATCTAGGACCTAGGAAAGGGCTATGAGACTAAAGATCCAGACTTGTTTCTGGTTGGGACTGGGTGAACCCAGGTTCACACCAAGCTCAGCAGGGCAACAGAGTTTCGCCACCCCTCTCTCACATCGAAGGCTTCAGGGTGACTCCAGATGTCTCCCAAGTCTTCCCCTTTTGGGCCCCACCAGGCATCCCTCTCTTTCAGGAGATGTGCGTTGATGTTTACCTACCGCATTTGGGACCGGGATCCCCGAAACCAACCCATCTGTGGAGTTCGCCCTACTTTTCCCACGAATCCTGTCTTTTTTTGGACGGTGTTTCATCGGAAAAAAACACGGCGAGAGCTCTCTATGGCGCAGGTTGCTCCGCGGCCCTGCGCGGCTACCTCTCCTCCAGCGCCTGCGAGGCCCGGACGGATGGCCTGCAGAGCGCCCTGAGTGGAGTTCGAACGGAGTCCGTGCCGGCGAGCTTGGTGGGCGACAACAGTCCCTTGAAAAAATTATCCCGGCAAGAGACCCCAAACAGTGTGTGTGAGGTCTGTTAGCAGAAAGTCTAGAGATCTAGACGCATTGGGGTCCAGAGAGGTGATGGTGGTGATGAAGTGAAGGTGGGTGTGAGTGAGTGTGGATGAGAGGGAGTGTGAGCGTGAGTGAGAGTGGGAGAGTGAGTGTGAGTACGAGTGTGAGTGAGGGTGAGTGTGGGCGAGAGTGGGAGTGAGAGTGAGTGAGCGTGAGTGGGAGTGAAGGTGGGTGTTGGTGAGTGTGTGTGAGAGTGAGAGTGAGTGTGAGTGAGAGTGAGAGTGAGAGTGGGAGAGTGAGTGAGTGTGAGTGTGAGTGAG